GAGGTGCAATTATAGTAAATAACATTTCTGAGTTCATATTGGAAGTGTTATATTTAGATGATAAGTGAAGGTTGTGTTTAGGCTCTCTCAATCTCACAAGTGTTTGAAGGTTGTGTTTAGGATCTCTTAATTTATAAGTCCCTCAAGAAAATCAACTTTGATATCAATTTGTTGTATATATTAAAGAGAAAATAAAATTTTCTAATTGACACATTAGTTTATTAAATTTCAATATGATTATTTATACAATATAAAAAAAACAAAATTGCAAGATATTCTCCTAGCATATCTCATTTTCTATTACATGGAATAAAAATAACCATTAAAATAGCAATAGTAAATAAATTCTGATACTGTAAACAAGCTCGGATTCGCTGAGATTTTATTTTGTTGATAGAGTCATTCATGTAAACAGTTAAAATACCTGGAATCGTAGATCAAGACTCATCTGCCAAGTTCTTCATAGAACTTTGGGTACTGTTGGACTTGCATGCCTCTGTCACATGTATCGGGGGGAACAAATCTTCAGATATTATGCATGTTGTGGCAAAATGATTCCAGTATGAAGCAGTCAACTACTGAAACATTCTGAGCATTTTCATAGACTGATAGTGGATGATGTAGTTCTTCAAACTTTTCTTCCGTCGACTTTTGTGGGTTGACGGGGTCGTAAAACAAGAAGGGGAACACAAGTTAATGGCTTGAATTGAATCATGCTCCAGTTGTTGAATTGTAGCAAAACAATTCTGCTCAGGGATGGACTTGCACTTGCATGGAAGGCAGGAGGGAATTGATAAGCTGGCCCCACTTAGAGCTTGCGGTCAAACTGTCATGCCTGAAGACCATGGAAGTGCATGCGTGTAAAAATTATTTCCAAACTAGCATGATTCAAAGGGATACACACGGCTAGTAGACTCAGATTTCTGTTTGGTTGTGGACGCGAATGGCACACGCATAAGAAGGGTGGAAATTATTTGTTGGAACGTATAATAAGGGACACCAGGTGAGCAACACCAGGTGAGCATGTCATGTGACTTACTTGGGATTTGAGATTTTTCAATTGTTATAAGAATATTTATTTTTAAAATTTCATTTGATTTTTTTTTCTCTTCTTTCATGTTTTTGTTATTATGTCAGCCTGTTTCCTCTTTACTCAAACTGTATTTGATCTTTTAATTTGTATATTTAGTTAATTTTAGATTTATTATTATGATCATTTAATCAATTAAAATTATTTTGGCAAAAATCAGTTCTCTTTTCTTTCTTTCTTTCTTTTCTTTTTTCTTTTCATTTTTATCCTGAAGTAAACATTAACTCTTGTGGATTATTTACTTTTTATTTTTATTTTTTATTTTTTATTTTATTTTTAAAAGAAGAAAAACTAGCCCTAATCTGGCCATCAATGCCACCACCTCCTATTGATGGAAGTGTAAATTATTTTGGCAAAAATCAGTTCTCTTTTCTTTCTTTCTTTCTTTTCTTTTTTCTTTTCATTTTTATCCTGAAGTAAACATTAACTCTTGTGGATTATTTACTTTTTATTTTTATTTTTTATTTTATTTTTAAAAGAAGAAAAACTAGCCCTAATCTGGCATCAATGCCACCACCTCCTATTGATGGAAGAGTGGCGTGTAAAAAGGGACATTTAAGTGACTAGACAGGAAGAAGGTCCCATCACATCTCGCACATGGGTTCGAGTCCTGGTGTGCACGCCTGTCACCCCCGTGGTGCCTTACATGCCTACTGGGTTTGCAGGGTGTTCAGTGAGCCGTGGGGATTAGTCGTGGTGCGCGCAAGCTGGCCCGGACACCACACGTAAATCCAAAAAAAATGGCGTGTAAAGAGGGACATTTAAGTGACTAGACAGGAAGAAGGTCCCATCACATCAGTACTTGCTGCTCTTACTTTCCGTCTTATGATTCACTCAAACTCGGAGTACTGCTGCGGACAGTACCGCCTTCATCTGACAAACATAATAGAACTGCTCACACACTAGCTTGTACTCCTCATGTCCCTCCAAAACTATGTCACCAACCCCTATGCTATCATAGTGTGTATGAGTGTGTTTTATAATAACCTCTCTCCTTCATCAAATTTCCAAAGTCTTTTTTAACTCCCAGTCTTTGCCTCTGCTAGAAAACAACCCCTCCTCTCCTCTCCTCCCACAGCATCCATTCTATCCAGCGTATCAGCTATGAAGAAGCTATACCGTAAAGGCAAGGTGCATCCATCAACGCCAGTAATATCAGACCACCTGTCTTTTCTTCCGGTCACCATCCTTGCCCTCACAGCTGCTCTTTCCCCAGAGGACAGAGAGGTCTTGGCCTATCTTATCACCTGCTCAGGCAATAACAATATCTTCCACAGCAACTGGTCGAATATTAATAGCCGCAAGAGTAGCTGTAACCAAAAGACAACTTCTTACACCAAGAGCAGCAGCAGCAGCAATAGTCATGACCACCCTCCTATGTTCAGCTGTGATTGTTTTAGGTGCTACATGAGTTATTGGATTAGATGGGACTCGTCTCCTAACCGGCAGCTCATTCATGAGATTATTGATGCTTTTGAGGATTGGTTATTGAAACAAGGCAAGAGTAGTGCTACAAGCGGCAACAAGAACAGGAAAGACAGGAAAAGGAAGGGAAACAGTCAAGGTTCTGGTGAGTTGATCAAGAGGCCAGAGTTGAGAACGAAGGACAAGCAGCTGGATGAGACTGATTCAGTGGATGGAAATAGCAGTGGTAGTGGTGGGGGTAAAGGAGTTGGTGGTGGTGGTGAAGAAGGGACGGAGAAGGGGTCTGTCAGGAGGCTGGTGAGCTTCATCGGGGAGAGGATTTGGGGTGTTTTGGGTTAGTGAATTAGATCGAAACAAAAATGGAAAAGGCCTGGTGGATTTGATTTGTCGTAGAACCTGCAGGCTAGTACTTTTCTGGCATTTCAATGTCAGATCATAAAGGGAGGGTTCTTCTTCTTCTTGTTTTAATTTCCCATCCTTTTTTAATTTATAGTGTACAAATATGGCGGCTTAGTTTGGAATCATCAACAATTTTTATGGTTTTTTTTTCTAGCGAATTCATAGACTACATCTTTATCTAGCTAGCTTTCTGATTTACTTGATCAAGTGAGGTGGTGGTTCTCATTGGTATTAGCAGTTTTTGTTAATTAATGCTTAATATTAATCTTGGAGCTCACTGCTCCATTCAACATTCAAGAATTTGATTTAAGACGAAGACGATTCAAGAATCAACCCTCTTCCTTTTTTGCCATTACATTTAGAGAGTTTTCCCCCAAAAACGGCATGCAAATCCATGAAATTTAACCCGGAGAGGAATGCATGCCTTGGCAAATGGTTTCCGAGCTCGTAAATTGTATGCTGATGGCAGAGATGGTAGGGCAAGTGTGATCCCGTAAGTGATTAATAAAAGCCTTCAATCAATGAAGAGAGCTTTATAGGTAGCTGTTAGCTAGGCGCTGTGTGGGGGTAATGTTTGCTTGCTGGTGGGAACGGAATGGAATAAGTAGGTGTCGTCGTTATCGAGGTCGGCAAAAGCATTCCAAAAGAAATCTTCGATTAAAGCAAAGGGAAATGCATGGTCTGTAATTAATGGTTATTGCCTTGAATGGATGAATCTCTTTTTCTTAAAAACAAAAAAACAAGAAGAAAAGAGGTCAGGCCACCTTAATCCACCATTCGTGTCACCACTCCCGTCCAAACCTCTTTTCGGTGTTCCCTATGGCCTCTATTGGCATCCCTCCTCCTCCTCCTCCCTATTTTCTACCCTTGGACCCCGTGAACCCTGAAGCCCAAGAAAATGGATTTGGTATGTAGTTTTACACCACATGCATGCATGTTGATACTGGTAATTAACTGGCATTTAGCAAGCGGGTTCCTCCCTGATTGGAACCCCTGGCAATACTTCGTTGCGAAGCACAAATCTCCATCTAAGATGTGTCCTTTCGGATGCAGTACTGATGACTGCTTCTGTAAAATAAAGAACACAAGTTAGGTGCATGCCATGGCTTGACATGCTCCCTCCTTTCCACTACTGACAAGTCATTTCTCAGTGAAGGAGAAATCAAAAGCCGTATAAGCACACCTAACCATCCTTTTTTCCACCATGAACTATTAATGTAAGCATATATTCCACACCACGCTAGGTATTATAGCTGGGTGGGGAGCATCTCTTGATAGACCAGCAACAACTAACAACCGAAAACATGATTGGGTTGTAATTCTCACGGTCCATTAAACATCCTGCAAGTTCAGTGAACAGGTAAGATACCGCGAAGATAACAAACATACCACACAAAAAAAAATCAACAGATATAGAAAGAAAATCACTTGACAACCCTATTACTACTAGTACTTGAACTGAAATTTAAAAGAAAACGAGCAGCGTAAAGAAATTTAAAAGAAAACGAGCAGCGTTTTACGCTGCTGAGAAGAGAGAAATATATCTTGATTTCATGGTGTGATGGACCTGGTCAAGGGTCAGTTCCAGTTGTCATTTCCCACTGAAGCTCATCATGGCTTGTGTAATGGCGTCAAAAAGGCATCTTTTTTGCTGATGATATTCGCACCATCCGCCTCAATCTCTAGCATCCGGAGCTCTGTTTGTTTTCTCCGTATAAAATTATTTTTTTAGAGTACTTTGTTTTGAAAAATATCAATTTAATTTTTTTAGCTATTTTTAATACGCTGATGCTAATCGAGTCAATGAGTTTTATATTTGGAATGCGAATCTTTGCCTCCACTGTGCTTGCCCAAATCTCTGGGCACATATTCCCATTCCTTAAATTATACTAGATTCCTGCCATGTACTGCCTTTCAGATCCTTTTGTTTTTAATTTCAGTTTGTTAAAACCATGAAAAAAAAATAATATTAATTGGAGATTTTTCCCTAGCAAATATTTTTTTTTTAAAAAAAAAACAGAAAGTATTCAAACCACTTTCTTATAATTAAATTATACATGAAGTCATAGCAAGTGGCTCTCAGTCATTTTTGAAGCGTGTTATTTGGAATCAAAAGTTTGAATTGATTTTGGAAATGGTAAAAAAAAGAAGACCCGATGATGCTCAAGGTAGCATCTCTCTATGACATGATGTTACCCATTGACTCCCGCTGCGTGGAGGAATCGGTCAGTCAATATTTCGGTGAGAGTCGACGGCCACAAAGCAACGAGAAGCTCCTCCACATTTACCTTACCTCCTTTATCAGCAGCTAATTCCATCGCAGCTGATCTTTGCTCCCATTTTTGTGTGTGACCCACCTTGGGATAAGTTAACCTCCCTGGTTTTGACTTGGTCTTGTGGTCTTAAATTCAAAGGAACAAAGAGTGGCCACATTCCATACAAAAAGTCCTTCATAATTTACTACAGTTCATAGATCAAGCAGCTTGCATCTCCATCAATTTGCTTCGTTGGATAAGCCAACTTCTGGTCTCATCACAGTCAAAAGTTAAGAAATTCATGCATGCTTAGGATTTGAGGTTGAAGAACTAAATATTGTAATCTACTCTGAAAAGAGTAACTCATGATGCCCATGCTACCACTGGAAGTGTCATGTCATCCTGCTTTTCTCAATGGCATGTGACCAAGCTGCCTAAAAGGCTCTTTAATCGACACAAAAGCATATCGACACCATCACCCATTATTGCATAGACCACCTTCTTCTTTTTTTCCCTTTTTTTATGGATTTTAATTTATTTCTCTTCTCGGTCATGAATCAACTTCCAACTACTTTAGTGAAGCAAAAAACATAAACAGTTAGGAAGAAGACCAATATGGAGACAGAACCTGGTCATCAAAAGCAACGACACAGTGTAACGTAAAGAAAGAATCTAAAATAGTGGATATGAAATTATTTAGAACGCATGGGAAACAACTAACAACTGTTTGGATGATGTTACCCTAGGACAACTGATGAGAAAATCATGGAGAAAAAATCAAAAAGAAGAAGAAGAAGAAGAAGAAGAAGAATAAGCAACAAAATGCTATATGTATCAACTATTTTTATTTTTAATGGATGCTACTTGGACATAATCGATTTTCTATCATGATTTAGGGCTAAACCTAACTTTACTATTTGTATAGAAAATGATGATCAATTATTAAGGTTGAAAAATGGTGGCATTAGGTGGAGTTTCCTATAACTGGATTGCTAGCTATCATAGTTCCAGCCTGCCTAACATTTCACCTGCTACAAGGGAAACAAGCCTTCAAATCCGGGATACAAACTGCAAAAAAATTTATTCAGAAGATCGACCCCTCGAAGTAAAAGAAAACAATGATGTATGAGCTTAATAAATATTGAAAACAACATTGTTATTTATACAATAATGCCAGGCCTATGATTGAAGGATCTAAACATAAAGTTTATTTTTTTAAGCTTCCAAGGATGGTCCACAGCATACCGGTACAAAATGGATACGCCACGCTATCGAACTTCTAGCATCACAGCAGCATCCATATCCAATACTCTCTTCCCTATAGAATTTGGCGTTCATTATATTTCTTATGAAGTGAAACAACCTTCTATGGTCAATCAAAATTAGGAAACTGGGACCATTGAAAAAACCTTACTGATTGATATGCCTCCACCAGACCATAACCTCAGATGACTGGAAGAACATCATGTGCTAGTGAATGGCTATAAAGGACTAGAGAGATGGTAATACCTTGAATTGGAGTTAAGCATGTACAGTTACAGATGAGCTCATGGATACACAGCCTTTCAAGCGTTCCAGAATGACATTCCGGTTGACACGTCCCGAGTGTGAAGTAAGAGGAAGGCCCTCTTTGACACATTCATCGTACTTCTCCAAAGCAGAAACAATGTAACTGAAATCTGGTCGCTTGGATGGGTTGGCTGCCCAGCAGCGCTTTATCAAGTGTGCAAGTGCAGGCTGGCAACTAGCAGGCAGTGGAGGCCGCTCGTTCTGCCAAAGAAGAAAACTAGTTTAAATAAAGCTGGTGTGAATCTGTCCTGTTATCCCAAGTTCTAATTAATTACATTCTGTTCTGGGATGTTATACCTAGCAGAGGCCTTTCATATTTCAAATGACCATCAGGTCATGTTCTTATGGTTATAGCCCCTAACATGACCAACCATGAGGTTCGGTTTTTATCAACCTTCAACATGGTTCAATTGATGCCAACAAATCCTATTCTTGAATGCACAGATCAAATGTTCTTTCGGAGTTCTACAGAGCGGTACAAGTTCTAACCAGTAACCTCATAGTCTTACCCCAAACACCAATGGTATTTGTCTGCCATTTAGATTCTTCATTGAAACAAATTTAACAGAGCATTAACTGTCAAGGTCACAGCGCATGACAGATGAAAAACATTCAATTTTGAAAACAGTAGTGCCAACATGTAGTCAGAAGCCCAAATCTTTTCACAGTATCACGGGGAGAACAGAATTAATCTATTCTTCCTGAGGGGAAAATGTTTCAGATAAAGAAAGAAGATGCTCATTCTGTTTACAAGCCTCAAGGATAGAGATCACTTGAGCGGAAAATCAACATTGTGTGACACACACTCTTCGAAACTTGTATTTCAAATTGCACTAATCTAAGCAAGTGCTGCCGCAGTAGTTATCAAAGGGATAGCCATATCATGGCCAGCATTTTGCAGTGATTTGTCTATAGCTAGATTCTGGAACTGTTATTTCTCACCACTTCTAAGTTCTCAGAACTTTCACTGTTAGGACTAGAAAACAACACCGTCCAATGTTATTCTTCAAAGACAAAAACGAAATCAAATGAAGCCCTCCATTCATTATTACTGGTATTGGTTATCCAATGGTCACCAATGAGTGATTTCACAAATAATTTCAGATATCATCTTAATAGCAAAAATGAGTGCAAAAGGGATGTGTTCCTAAATAAGATACATATTTTGAAATTAGCAGATGGTCAAAAGCATAGCTAAACTAAAAGAACAGATAAAATCTCCTTGCTTCTCCTGCCAGTTTTTTTCATGCAAGAAGAGACAATCTTACCATTTTAGATGATTTTTCTCTGAGATTATAGATCTCTTTGGCCTTATAAACAGACGATTAACATGGGACGCTCCCACTGCTTCAAGTTCAGTATTTATTTTCATTATGGAAACATCAAACTTTAAGAAACAAGAAAAGTATGCAGGAAAATCTTTTTCAATGAAAGCCTGTAATTAGCAAATGCTTGTTGATTTGAACAGAAAACATTTGCATACCTTCTCTGCTACAGCAAATGCAGCTTGCACAGGGGTCATTCCTTGAAAGGGAAGCAAAGCTGTAGTTAGTTCCCACAACACAATCCCAAAACTATACACATCAACTTTCCGGGTGCAATGTTTCTCCTTGATCATCTCTGGTGCCATCCAGCGGTAGGTTCCCTTGTTCCCTTTGGTTTCTTGGCACTGTGTTTCTAGACATGATGTACCAAAATCAGCAACCTTAACCCGCATTTCATCATTTAGAAGCAAATTATTTGATTTCAGGTCTCTGTGGATGACTCCCTGTGAATGAAGATACTCCATTCCTCGTGATATATCAAGAGCCAATCTCAGAATTGTTTCTGTTGAAAGTGAGTATGGCTCTTTCTTGTTGAGATACATCCTCAGAGTTCCTTGTGACATGTACTCTGTGATGATACAGTACACAGGTGGCTTTTTACAAGCTGCAATGAACTGTAAAGAAGGCAGTTAGCCATCTTGCTATAAAACGTTCCAATTTTGATAAGCTATCACAAGGTGACACTGAGATCAGTTATTAAAGGAACATGCTTCCTCCACCTATTGGCAATTGAATAAATCAAGATCACTGCTATACTTTGTTCTAAAGCATTAGTAGCATGAGAGATCACAAAATCAGTAAAGCTTCAGGTTGAGGTACGAAGAACAGACACGGATAAGAAATATGAGGTTTTTATCAAGCCAGTCCCGCGGAAATTTGAGGCTGTTTCCAAAAATCAGGTCACCCAGTATGACATCTTCGAAAGCTTGAAGACAACAAAGGATGAGAAAGAAAGTACAGTAAATTAACAAAGCTTTCACATTGGAAAAGATTTCCTGCTCAAAATCAAATTACAAAATTAAGCATGTTAGACAAAATTGTTTTATAAAATTAAGAACAAGCACTTGTTCAGCCAAAAAGAAGAAGAAGTATCTAGCCAGTGCCAGGAACCACTGATTACATTTATCAAACAATACATACATGAAAAAAAACTCATATCTAATTGATAAGAACGCAAAACAATCTTAACAAAGTTTTCACATTGGAGCACAAAACCAAGCATGTTAGACGCAAGAAACAGTTCCATCAATTTAAGAACAATAGCTATATCATAGTGAACACAGAGATGCTGCAGGATTCAATTATTACGTTTAATTATTCATTAACATGCTAATCACATCAACCAAGCCATTAATAATTAAAAAATAAATTCTTTCGCTTTTAATTAAATTGGAATGCAAAACCACACATACCTGCACTATATTGGGATGAAAGAGACGCGAAAGCAGAGCAACTTCACATTTGAACTGCTGTTCAAGGAAAGCTCTAGTCTCCTCCTTTTGGGTTGGAATTCTCACCATTTTGACAGCAACCGCTCGCTGCTTGTAAATTCCACGATAAATCCTACTATGAGCTCCAGAGGCAAACTTGTTGCCTATAAATAACTGTGAAAGGTCAGCAGTCCATTCCTCTTGGTCCTCCTTTGAAGCCTCCCAAGTCTCTACATTCTCAGATTCCAAAATCATAGACCATGACTCCAAACTGTCAAATCTCTTCCTCTCCAAGTTCTCCATTTCAGAATTCGAATGGGATTTTGATGAGGAAGAGATTTTTAATGGTTTGCTCTTTGATCTTCGAAGTCGAAATGCACGGAAACATGAACTCGCCATTGAAGAACCTCCCTTGTTGTGTTTGATATTAGCGCCAAAGATAGGGTGTGTTTTTTTTTTTTTTTGAAAGACGCAAAAAAAAAAAGTGTGTCAAAACAAACAATCAAAAGGAGCTTTCCTCCTGAAAGTATGAATTGATTTTAGAAAGTGCATGAACTGATTCAAAAACATGGGTTCTGTAGAAAATTGAAAAAGAAAAATGGGTTTTCATGAATTGATCAAAAACAGTACAAGAGACAGTCATGCACACATTCATCAGGTTTTTTAGTACACGAAAAAACAAGTCAAATGACGACTTTTCATGATGAAAATAGAGAATATAACTACCGAAAAACAAACAATCAAAGGCAATGGAGTTTTATGACATGAAGAAATGGAAAGTAAAGAAAATATAAAATTCATGAAAATGCAGGGGTGTTATTGTTGCAAAAAAGGAAAAAAAAAAGAGAGAGAGAACAGAGGTTTTCACGGCAGGTCAAGAGATTAGGTCGTTTGGAAGTGGAAAGATGGATGAATTCAAAGCAAATATTTCAGGGGGGTCTCGTGAATGCTCCATTCAAAAGGAAAGGAAAAGGCCTTTTAGTTTCTTGAGATAGCTATAGAAGCAGAGAGAGAGAGAGAGAGCTTTTTTCTGGACAGAATCCAACTCCTCTGTTTCTGCTGCGTCTTCCTTGCTTGTTCCTTTTATCGTCATTAATGCTAAGTGGCCACAGTTGCATAGATTGGGTTTCATAGGTGATCAGATGATCCTGATTGATAAACATCATTACTCCACTTCTTCAAGCAAATCCTTGCATCCCCATGTTAGGATATTGAAAAACTCAGACTTCAGGATAGATTCCATCTTTGAATTACTACTATTTATGTACCACACACAAGTGGCAATTACAGGTGGGAAACCCTTGATAGGACAAGTTGCGCATCATTCACCATCTGACACCACTTTCTGTTCTTAATTATCTTCTCTTCTTTCGGAGGATATGGTCGTTGCCACAAAGATTTTATCAGAGAGAAACAGTTTTCAAACATTCAACGGCGTGTTTAGCCGGGCGGTTTACGCTGAATTAAAAAAAAAAGAGAGGGTATTTTGTAAATTAATTGCTACCGCTGATACCATCTCATGAAGGTTAAATAATTGATCATATAGACTCTTATGTTATGGTCTTATGATATGAGTACGATAAGGTGATGAAATGGATGTCTGAACTGTTCTTGGCTTAGGATTTAAGTTAACTATGGATTTTGATAGCTGTAAATTGTAAATGGATCAGTCGATATGATATGGAAATGAATTCAATTAACGTAGGCTCTAAGCCAAGGGCTATTGGCAACGGCTTTCGCAGTCTGCATGTGATTTGCAACGGTAAACGATGTTACGTCCCATAGGCGGCGAACATCATCTCTAACACCACTAGCTAGCAAGTAGCATGCGAGATAATGAGTACATACTGATGAACATATATATATATCACTTCATATTCTGATTTTATTTTATTTTATTCATATTTTAGCTAATGCTTTTCGATTTACGCTAGTACTTCTCAATTAACTCTACCTAAAATTCCCACGTAATTTGGAAGAAAGAAAGGAAAGGAAAGGGCCAAGTGCAAATTGTACTCGTGCTTGCCAGACCCATGATCACCACTTTATTCCAAGCCATTGGAGCTTGTATTAATTTGAGGTGGAGTTTAAAAAACAAGTTAATTAAAAGTATAGCTTCTCTTTCTTTTTATTATGGTACAAGTATCAAAGAATCAAAGCAGGAGTTCTTCTCCCCTCCATGATTGGCTTATAAGCTAGGTCTACTAGTATTCCATGAGTGTACAGGATAGGCACTGTGAGCATAGAATAAGGTTAAGCAACAAGGACGTCGTTGTCCAAACAGCATTGAAAGGAACTTGCCCACCTCATTAATTCTCAAACTCTCTTTCACACACAGAAGTATTCCTTTCCTATCTTTTGATGATCAGAAACAAGGGGAAGAGATTTTATGATTTGTATCAAAGTACCAATCAAGTTGTTCGTCAATTTTACTTCTTTTTCTATGCTGCACAGTTCTCATGAGCATGCAGTGATCATGAAACAATTAAGATTGATGTGGATGGTCATTGAAAAAAATCTCTTGCCCATGCAGTTTCTTCTCAACTCGTATGGAAGTGTATGGCCAAATCCATTTGGGACCCCAGCTTGATACAATCCTCTGCAAGTTGTGGGTGCTTGCCTTGTCTGTGTCAGCTATTTCTGCCATTGTGGACTGGATAGGTCCTGGGAGAGTGCTAAAGAGTCAAAACGTGTTTGCAATATATAGAGCTCGCCCTTTCATTTGATGTCAACACGCCGAGGCAGGACCAATAAGAAAGGATAACAATTCAATTTGGGCAGCTTGAAGAAAGGTGTAAATATCACTTCTAGTGGCCCAAAGCCTGGGGTACTGTTGATAGGCTTATAGAGAAGATGCAATGCTTCTCAAATCTTTCTTCTTCTTAGGTTTGAGGCCAATGCATCTGCCAAGTCCAGCTTGACCTTAGCCCAGGAATGACAAATTAAGGGATCCGTTGCACAAGACCTACGGCCATCATTATTAAATTGTTAAAACTCACGTGCAACCCTACCGATAAGACATGATAAATATGTCCTAGAAATCATCCAAAAAAACCTATGTGTTGTTCAGAGTCTAAACCTCGTGTTAATATACACAACTACTGCAAAATCATACCATCCATTTCCAAACAGTATTGGCTGAGCGTAGCAAGAGCAATAATCATATTGTGTGCCTCTTATAATCATTTTGGCTGAGCTGAAAGTGATTCTATTACTACACTTAAATCCCGTTTGGTACTGGAGAGATTGCTGTTATATTTGCCTTTGAGTATAATCCCTAACAGCACAAGAACACAAACAGTAAAGCCCCACATAAAAAGCTATCGCTAATTAAATGGAGGATTGCAAGTGAGATTTGCAAATGACAACATATATGCTCACGGTAGAGAACAAATAATGTGATAGTTTTGTTTAGCGAAAATGGCTAAGCACAAAAGGAAGTGTAGAAAAGAATCCGGTGCCATTAAAAGGGATGTAGAGGAACAAGAACACCTTGAGAGAGAGAAAGAGTGTTACAATATATTTACATAGCAATACAAAACTACTACAAGAAATTAAACTATAGATTTCTTTTGTATTAAGGTAGTTTTTATGATGGTTGCGGTTTGTGTGTGTGTATATATATATATATATTAACAAAGAATTATTACTGAATTAATAGAATTCTTAAAAAAACAATTAATTGAAAAGGTCTCTCTCACACACAATCTTATGATTGACTAGCTACAATAAAAGGGCATATAAATCTCGAAGTCTTGTGTTTCCTTGACAGGATCTTGATAACGAGCACTTATATATAAATAAATTAATCAAATCATCTCTTCTAAATGAAAGAGAAAGTGACCCCAGTTCTTGTAAATACATCATTTATTTTTACACGTCTGTGTGTATATAGAGAGAGGGTGGTCCTGGCTCTGAATCAAGAAATCCCCACATCTCTCGGAAGAGGAATAAGACTTGATTTTTCATAACGTGAGGTGGAGACCATCTTCCACAAAACGAGCCTCCCCGCAATCAAGTCTTGATAAATTGGGTTCTGCCATGCAACTATTATTACCCTTTGTTCTCCTCGTGACGGATAGAGAGGGCGAGAGAGTGAGAGAATATATTAAAAATAAATTTTAGATTACTTTTATGAATAAAATACTAACCAAGAGGCTTGGTGCGTGTTTTTAGTAATACAATGCTATGATGTTTTTAAAATATATATCTTAATTAAAAATATATTAAAATATTATTTTTGAATATTTTTTGAATTTTAACATTATCATGTTACAAAACACCTAGAAAGATATTAATTTGATATTTTTTAAGTAAAAAATAATTTAAAAAATATTTTTAAAAACAAATCATTGCTGCTCAAACACATGAAGACTCACAAATTAAATGATTTCGTTTCTTACCTCCAACCAAAGCTCCTGGAAACAAATATTTTTTTGTCTTGATTTCGCTACTACTCTTTTGATTAAAAATAGATTATGAAATATAATCTAAAAAAAAATAGATTATGAAATAAAAAATTCATAAAACTCGGAGTTTTAGGGTTTTAAACTTTAATGATAAGAAAGAATCATGAACAAACTACGTTTTTTACAATGTTTATGTCAATTTCCTCAAGTTTACACAGAAAACGAAGCCCTCATTCCCTTTCATCATTTATGAATCAAGGGGCCGGCCGGGGACAAGAAAAGATGCGAGGATAGCATACAAGGCTAGCGTAATTATCAAAGGAAGAAGAGGTGCATGGAAGCAACAAAACAAAGAATCCTTTTGTAAAACGAAATGCTAAGTTTCCTGGACAGCACAAATCAAGTTATAGCTATCACCGTTTCCTAGCTAGCTTAGGAGGAACGAAAATGAAACGACATGGACAAGATTAAACTTGCTTGTGCATGATTTTCAAAGGTTAAAATCACCATCTTAATTACAGATCGATGGGCCCTGCACACTTTCTATCCGAGCAGAACAAGTTACTCGGGAGAGATGGAGTTTTCCTTATTGCGTCAATCAACCATAAAAATTGTTTATCTTCATAAAATATTAAATTAATATTATTCAATTATTTCAATATATTGATGTTAATACACACACATATATATATATATAAAATCTGCACCACAATTCTATATATATATATATATATTATTTTAATATATTTTCAAATAAAAAATATATTTAAAAAATCTTGTAATACACACACATATATATATATATAAAATCTGCACCACAATTCTAAACACATATTTGAGAATATTGAATATTGTTATTGAATCACGCTTTTAAAAGAATTAATTTTTTTATTTTTTAATTGTTTTGATGTACTAATGTCAAAATAAATTTTAAAAAATAAAATAAAAATATTATTTTGATATATTTTTAAATAAAAAATATTTTAAAAAACAATCTTCACCACAATTCCAAACACTCACTTAATACAAATCAAGCTAAGTTATGTCATATATAATTACTTCTACTTTAAGCTAAGTTATGTCACATATAATTACTTCTACTTTGGTCTATTATAACAAAAGTTAAAAGAATATAGTGTTTTACGGTGCAAATTACACAATGAAATTACGATATTGCTATTGATTTGGCAAAATCAATTGATTTTAGATTTTTGTTACAAGTCTTATTAGTCATTATACAAAAGAGTGGGTTAAATTGTCCTTTTGTATTATACAATATAATTACCTTATTATCCTTGACTACAAAAAAACATTAAGCTTTGGTCAAGATGATTTTTAGTCATTGAATTAATTTTCAAATAATTAAATTATATTGCAAGTCAAATTTATTCATATTTTTATTATAATTTATTTTATTTTAGATAGTTTTTGCAATTTTTTTATAATTTTATTATTCTTGAGTTTTTTCTCTATGAAATCTAATCCTTTTTTACTAGTAATTTTTTCCTTGCAAGATTTTTTTAAAATTAATTATTTCATCCTTCAATATTTAATTAGGTATGTGTTTAGTTTCTTAGTTGAGTTCAAATCTTAAATTTAACGGGTTGTGGGTTTAAAAAAATTATTAAACTTTTTTTTCCCATCTTCGAGCATTTTTTTATTTTTTTCACTTTGTATGGGATTTTTTAGTCATCTTGTGAAAACAACTTATGTTGCTTTGGTTTTTATTTTTTAGGTCTTTGTTAAACTTAGCTTTTCTAAAGAAATTTTATTTTAAAATTATTTGATTTCATTCTTCAATATTTAATTTTTCAAGTGTTGAGCTTCTAAGTTGAGTCCAAGTCAGGAATTTAATGGATTATTAGTTTGACAGTTTAACCCAGCTTTACAAGTTTAACTTGGCCTTGCTTGGTTTTTTTTTTGTGATTTTATCCTCTAAAATTATTTTATTCACTTTTTATAAGATTTATTTAAAAAAAAATAACAAGGGTGTCTTGGGTATTTTTAGGTTTTTGTTATATTTAATTCTTTAAAAGAAATTTTGTTTTCTTAATTAAATATAATTTATTGATTTCGTTCTTCATTATTTAATTTGATGAGTGTTGAGCTTTTTTGTTTAGTCAAGATCTATAATTT